AAGGTCCTCTGCAACCTACTATAGGTGACCCTGCTTCGGCAGGACGGTTGGACTAGATGACCCACAGAGGTCCCTTCCAACCCCTACCATTCTGTGATTCTCTGTGATTCTGTGATCAGCTTCCACTCTGATGTGGTGCAGCTGTCTTAATATTATATCATCACTGGGAGATGGCAGCGATGGTAGAACCCCAGTGGAGATGAAGAACATGGTGGGTTTGCTGAGCTGTCTGTGCAAATCTCCAGCACTTGACTCTCTCAGCCAAACCCATCCACAAAGTGCTGACTTCAGAGAACGGGGAAGTTTCACGGTCTTTGGGAAGAGATACACAGGCTTTTTCCGCCTTGGGCTTTTTGTTACATCTCTAGCTGATCTCGCCTGGCTTTGCTCAACGTTGTTATCAAAAGCTTCCACACCCCAGCTGGGGCGGCCATAGGGATTTGTCAAAACTGTCTTTTCTCCCCAGATCACTTCTGCCTGTGTTTCTGTATGTATTTCCCCTTCACGTGGAGTGGAATAAAAAGCTGACTTGAGAGCTACTTGTTTTATGCCTGAATTACTTCAGTTTTCTCTGCCCGAGGCTCCTCATTCTTTTCCACCGCGTTGCTGCTAGTCTGCTGGGACTCTCTCATTGCCCACGAAAGTTTTTCTTGTCCTCCTACACTGCTACTTTGCTCCATGAGCTCAGATTTTTGCCTAAACTTGGGCACTTACAGAGCTAATTTCTATTCAATCTTACATAGTTTGGTTAGGCACATGCTTGTGCACTAAAATCAATTTCAAAATGGCTCAGCTTTATTTTAAGCCCCCTTTTTTTTTTTTGTTTTCAGATGCCAGATGCATTGATTGCTGTCTGATTAAAAAAAAACCCACAACAAACCACACAATATTTTCAGCATGATTTAGCGGCTCATCTACAAGGATCTTGACTGGCTTAACTAAATGGTTGGTGCTCACTCATGTGTGGAAAAGGCCTTGGTGTCTTTGGATGCACATTATTTAGGTTAAATAACCTAAAAGCAATTTAATCTTAGAGAGCTAAAAAGCAAGAGTTTAAAATTATGTCTCACAGCTTGAGACAACATCTACTGGAAAAATCATGCAAGCTACCTCATTATTTTTTGAGCAAAATGCTTTGTTTCAGTGAAGCTATCATATTTAAGTGTTTTTGGATGCAAACTTCTGGAATTGTTTCTGGGAAGAAAGCTTTTCTTTTGAACACAACTACAGCTTAAAATGAAAATATAAGAGGGGGGGAGATGATCAGATAAGCCTTGAATGAAACAAAAAATTCCATTCCAAGTCAAAGAAAACATTAATTTTTCGAGACAAATGGACGAATTTTCTTGATTCTTTCCTTGGAAGAAGTTTGGGGTTCAGATCATCCAGAATCATATTCTTTCCTCTACTCTTTTTCTTCTGGAAGAAGCATCAAACCAGAAAAAAACAGTATTCATATGACTTCGTTTAAAAGGTTCAAACGCTATTTCGTAGCTCTTCTGCAGACTACTTTTAAGCAGTGCTAGAAATACCATCAGAAGAGGGAAGTTAAGTGGAATTAAACAAGGTTATGAATTCTGAAGGCAGTTTAAGACACTGTAATACAGAAAATAAGTAAACCCATGCCCTATGACCTTAGGCATATAAATATACTGCAGCAGAACAAAGCAGGCTCTTTTGTTATGTGTTGAATGTGAAATAGGCTGTCTCAGGGCTTTCACATCCCGGTGAGAGAGTCTGAATTAGCAGCTGGCTAGTTTTAATCCAAACAGCTCTGTCAAAAGGGCACCGTTAGTTCCATGGCAGGGAAGGAGCTGGGGGAGCCAGGGAGGAAACCAGACCCTGCAGCAGCTACATGTCCCCATGGCAGGCCAGAGCCAGCAACCAGCTGCTGCTAAAATGTTGTGACAGAGGAAATGATGGTCCAAAGTGTTTTCTGGAAGGAAGGGGGTTGTTTTTGTTAAGCAGGTCCTGAGATGGGCAGTCAGACGGTGCCCTAGAGATGTGGTGTGTGGGGACATATTGTATGGGCTTGGAAGCAGAAACATCATGAGAAGTTGCAAACAAACGGGGGAAGGGTGACGTGTAGCGAGTGCACCAAGGTGAACATAGACTGTCAAGGGAATGTAGAAAGGTTGTGGCAAGGTTTAACACCAGTTCATGTGGCAGCGGTGTGAAAGCAAGAGAATGAGGGTCTGCTCATGCCTTCTCCTGCCTCATTGCATTGGTGGGGTCTCGGGCTCTCAGGATGCAAGACCACAGGGCAGCCCAGGACACCACTCAAGTTTCCCTGGGAAATAGCATCCGTCTTTGGCAGAATGGTGGAGGACAGGTCCTTACTGCTGGCACGCACCCTTGGCAGTTCACCAAGGCTGGATTTTGTTGGTCCTGGACAGGAATATATGACTGTAGAGATGCAGAGGAGCCTCTGAGCAGCAGGGGCTAGGGTCTGAACGTGGCTGCAAGGCCAGGCTGCGAGGCAGGCAACGCTCTGCTTTCAGCAGGCAGCTGTCTTCTGTCACAGGGGCTCAGACTGCCTTGCACAAACCTAACACCGTGTGCTGGTTTTGGCTGGGACAGAGTTAATTTTCTTCATAGTAGTTAGCATGGCGCTGTGTTTCGGCTGAAAATAGTGATGATAATACCGGGAGGTTTTCGTTACTGCTGAGCAGTGCTTACACAGTGTCACATTTTCTGCTCCTCACCCCACCCCACCAGCGAGGAGGCTGGGGGAGCACAAGGAGCTGGGAGATGACACAGCCAGAACAGCTGACCCCAACGGAGCACAGGGATATTCCATGCCGTATGACGTCATGCTCAGAAATAAAAAGCTGGGGGAAGAAGAAGGAAGGTAGGGGGTTGATTGGAGTTGTGGCATTAGTCTTCCCAACCCCCGTTACGCATGATTGAACCCTGCTTTCCTGGAGATGGCTGAACACCTGCCTGCCGATGGGAAGTAGTGAGTGAATTCCTTGTTTTGTTTTGCTTGCATGTGCGGTTTTTGCTTTACCCATTAAACTGTCTTTATCTCAACCCATAAGTTTTCTCACTTTCACCCTTGTGATTCTCTCCCCCACTCCGCTGGAGGGGAGTGAGCAAGCAGCTGTGTGGGGCTTAGTTTCCAGCTGGGGTTAAACCACAACACACCAACATATGGGAGACAGATAGAGAGCTGTTAACCATCTTAGCAGAAACACTTGCTACGTACAAAGAGCTTCTGGGTAGGACTGCAGGTGAAAAGGGCTCCAGCTAAACCTTTCTGATCTCTCTTGACTAGGTTGTCCTTCAAATCTATTTACTGACTGATCTTTAAGCATTTCCCACTGGAGACCCATATGACAGCTGCTCCTATGTGCAATTCTGGCTGCAGCTGTGAGGACATGAGCTTGGAGAACAAATGGACATATTGCTCTTCCTGTGCACAACATCCCTCAGTCCCCTGGGACCCTCCCAGTGGACTTGAGCCAGTTTCCTTGCTGTGACTCTCCAGTCTAAACTGGAGACCTTGTTGGGCATCTCTAGAAAAAGCAAGTGTAAAAAGAACCAGGATAGACAAGCCTATTAAAAAGAGGGCAAGTGAGAGCACAAAAGATATCACAGGAGAAATCTTGATTACTAAATCAAACCACGCCAGCAGTCAGCCAAGACATCCAACAGCCAACTCATGGAGTCATTCTACTGCATGATGTTGCAAGAGATGGGCCTACACCACTCATACACTCTAGCTTGATAAAGAAAATCTGTAGTGGAGGGAGGGCTAGAAACCCCTTTCTTGAGCCTCTGAACAGTCTGGCTTTGACAAGAAAACCCAGATAGGAGAGACTCAAAAAACCAACCCCGTGGAGCAGACATCACCTACAAATGGGCAAGGGTTTGTGAGGCTGCAAAGCAAGGTTAGTGCAACAAGGTTGGTGAAGTGCAAAGAGGACTGCAGGAAGACAAGTCCCACCACCACATAAAAATAAAGAGATACTTTAAAGTTGAAGTGACCAAATCTACACCGAAATAAAGAAACCAGGCTTTTTTTTTCTTCAAGAAGTAAAAAAAAGATACATCACTTAGTGTATTTTTTCAAGCTTGCTGGACATCGTACTGAAGAACTGGAAAGCTGTCAAAGAAATTGTATACTTTTTTCTGCTGTCAACTAAAGCGTGCTTTTATGGAGTCAATTAGCCACAAATTATGAACACACATCACTTGTCTGAGAATGAATTACAGTACAACCCAATAAACAGAACTGTCTTTGCTCACTGGTCATCGCCCTGATGAGGAGGCCATTGGACGTTCTTCTCCACCCATAAAGGAAAATTCATGTTCATCTGTGTTTCACTCTGCGAGCATGCCTCTTTCAAGTGCTGCAGTGCTACAGGGGAAATGGGGTCATTGGTATTACTGCTCTGACATGCAAACCTGGACATGAGCTCAGTGTGTGAAATGCAATTACATCGTTGGAAAGAGTTCGGATAAGCTGGGATGGCATGAGTGCTCGGATCTACAACGGAGCTTATAGCTGCTATTATATTTGATAGAGAAGTGCAACGAGCATCATCTTTACACAGTATATTGTGTGCCCTCCACAGACCTTAGAGCCCTTTTCGAAGGTGGAGAGCCACAGTCTTGTCAAGTTTTTAGGGTTTTTTTTTGTTTGGTTGGTTAGGAGGGTTGCTTTTTCTTTTTCTTTTGTTTTTTGTTTTTTGTTTTAACAGAGGGGCAAACTGAGGCACAGAGAGGTGGTGTGACTTGCCCACAGTCGATGGTAGACCTTGAACCCCTTGGTCTTGCTCACGGCTTCTTACATCCCACCTGGGACCTGGTGAGAAGGAAGGGCTGCCCACTTATTCCCAAGGTGAGGAGAACTGCAGCTCCTCCTGGGGCGAGGGGAAGGGGTGTCACTCTCAGCAGCAATGTCTGGCAGGGGGACAAGAGCACGCATGGTTTCTGCCAGCCCCAAGAGGCAAGAAATGCAAGGAACCTGAAATGGAGAGGCAGGAGTTCGTTGGTCAGGCACTGAGCGAGAGGACGTGGCTCTACAGAATGCATTCATGCCTCTCTGTGGCTTTCAGAGCCTCGTGCATGCTGGCAGCGGAGAGCCTCCTGTTGATGTTCCTGTACTTGCACCGCAGGAGGTTCCAGAAAGTAGTCCTCAAGTCTCGGTTAAAGAAAGCATAAATCAAGGGGTTGATGAGGGAGTTGGTGTATCCCAGCCAGAGCAGAGTTCTCTCCAGCCGCAGGGGCATGCAGCTACAGCGGATGCCGCAGATGAAAGGCCGAGCCGTTGACATCAGGAAGAAAGGAAGCCAACAAAATGTAAAAGCCCCCACAATAATGCCGAGGGTCCTGGCTGCTTTCTGCTCCCGTTTGAAGATGGAAATATTCTTTCGGTCTTGCCGGAGCAGTTTGGAGAGCGTGGCGCATTCCTCCACCGCTTTGGTACGCTTGGAGCTGTGGTGGCTCCGGCTGGAGGCCTCCAGGCAGTAGACGCCCTCCTCTTCATAGTGCTTGGGGAAGTTCATGAAGCGGTGCTTCTCGGCGCTGACCTTGGCAGCTTTGTAGATCCGGCTGTACATCACGAGCATGACCGCCATGGGGATGTAGAAGGCAACCCCCGTGGAGTAGACTGTGTACCCAAAGTCCTGGCTGATGAGACAGACTCTTTCCACAGTCACATTCTTGGCCCAGCCAAAAAGAGGAGGAAGAGTGATGGAGGCAGACAGGAGCCAAACGACGAAGACCATCTTGGCCATCAGCTTCCCATTTTGTCTCACGGGGTACGTCAGCGGCCGAGTGATGCCCAGATACCTGGAAAAAAGGAGAGTTGCAAAGAGTTAGGAAGGCTGCAAGGTGTGATTGCTTTTGGTTGGTGTTGGGTGGTTTTCATTCCTAATCAGCTGTTAGTGCCCCGTTACAGGAGAATTTCAGCCCTGGAGGGGGGACACAAGAAATAAATTCCCTAAATGAAAATGTTCTCAGGGACATGCAGCTGCAGTATCTCCTGTGAAACACATTTCATACCCCTTCAGCTCTCTTGCCTAAACACCCTAATTTGACTATTCCCCGCTGCTTTCTTGCAACCACCCCATGCATGATACGAGGTGTCATTTAACTGCTGAGTGCAGTCCAAGCCCCACATGGTTTCCTGGGGAATAAAAATGCTTCAAAAAGCTTAGTTTTGCACCACGACTAATCTGTACAGAGAACATGCAACCACTTCCAGCCATGGCATGGAACTCGCTCCAGACTGTTGCCTGCCAGGGAAACACCCAGGAGTGGGATGGGTGATCCACAGAATGATACTTGCACCAGGATACGTCAGGACTGACTCCAGATGGAACGAATAGACTCACACCAGTGTTTAACGGGAAGTGGGATGGGCAACACCCTTCTCTTATTTGGCCAGGCAACTTGGGGAAGGAAAACCTGCGGCTGAGATGCACCTGAGGCAGCATGCAAGCAAAGAGTAATCTTGCCTTTGGGAAGACTTAAGGATGTGTCTGGATGGGCACAGAAAGCAAAGCTGGTCATCGGGTGACGGACTGTGGTGCAAGACTGACAGCTGTTGACCCACACCTTCTTTCAGCCCATAGACTATGTGTTTGCATCTTGCAGCACTGGCACCCGTGGGAGACACCACTGTCAGCAGCACACTCCATCACTCCCCTCTCCATCCAGCCTGCAAGATTCGGAGAAACCTACAGGTTCCTGCAACAAGTACTGGAGATGACCTCTAGAAACCAAGAAAGGAGTGAGTGCCCTTTGCAAACAGCTGGAGCCATCTTCTCCCTTGCAGGACCATAGCTTCTGAAGTGATGGTGCCCAGCCCTTCCTGGAGAGTATAGTGAGAGGAGCTCTGAGTAGGAGGTCCCAAAAGCATGTGGTAACCCACTGCTTCACAAAGCCTGATGCCTGGAGTTAGGAGTAACCTTGTTAGCTTGGCTGAAAGGAGCTAGAGACTGCATCACCCATCAGCTCCTGGCTGGACTACAGGGTGTAATTTTGAACTATCCTGAACCTGGATTGAGAGGGTTCATGTGACCAGGAAATTGTGTCAACTTTTAGCTGGTAAATTGCAGTTGTAAACTAATAAATCAGTAGGGAGTCGGAGACTGTCACCCAGTGTTCCCACTGAAAAATGTCTGCTTCCTATTCAGTCTCAATCAGTCCAGCAAAAGCTTCTAGCTGTTACACGAATTTCTTTCACGTTAAAGCCTTTTTAAATCAAACCTGCCTGTTGTCAGGAATTTCTAGGCATTTTTAGACAGGATCACATCACCTCTTAACTGTTTTGGATAACATGCGTCAGTCCAGAGGGGCAGTGAGAACAGTAGCTGCACGGATACCTTTTGCTGAAAGCTTTTCCAGGGAAGAATGGGCTTTTCTGCCAAAACAAAAAATTTCTGCAGAGAATTTTACCTCTGCTGTATCATTATTCTTTTCTGACAACCAGTCTTACTGTAGGTGTTAGGAGATTTTTTTTCTTCCCTGATTATTTCCCTTTTCCAGATCCTCCCCCAAGATTGGAAGAAGATGGAAATAAAATTTAAAAAATCTGATTCCTCCTCCCCTCCTGACTGCTAAATGAATTCAAAGCCCAAAGTATTCTCCCCTGACTCCCTGATAAAATGAATTTGAATTCATTCACTGAGTTGTTATTTTCCTGTTTTTGTCTGTATTTTCTTCAGCTGGCCGTACTCACAAAAGACAAGCAAAACTCTCCACGACCACCTATGCTGCTTGAATGCCCAGCAATGGTACAGGCTGAAGGATGACATTCACGGATACAGAGGCAACACAACCTCTTGAGAAAGGGCTTTTAACACCACCACCCCATGGGGCCCTGTCTACAAAGGAGGAGACCTGATGAGATGAAGATGGATAACAGAGCTGGTCTTGGTGCTGTCCTTCCAAAACCTACCACTGACTCCTTCCTACCGGGGCTGAGCACAGTGAGAAGTGATGAGCCTGGCTGGAAGATCAGAACTCAGAGTGATGGGTGGGAGCAGGTTGGAAGGATGCTGCCACACATCCCTTCTGCTGTAGGACGGATCTACAGAGGGAGAGCAGACTTGATGTCCCCTATACTGGGAGAAAACCACACCCTCCTGTTGCATCTCCAAATTCAGCACCCAAAAATCACTCTTCTGTATATCCAAGTCAAGAACTTTGCAAACGTGCTGTGTTGTGTGATATCCTTTATGATGCTATTACTGGGTTTTCTTTAGAAGCTGATCCACTTGGGATTTGCTGAAACTTCAAGGAATTTACACGCTAGCCAAGCAAAATGCACGGTGACACGATTTAAAAAGCAGGCAAAGCTGACACATTTGATCTGCGGGTGCCTTGTGCAGTCACTGCTGGAGGAAATGGGGCCGTTTTGAGGTCTTTGCTGATAGTTTTGATGAGAGCGGGAAGACCTCAAAATAGGCCAGCGCTCACAGCAGTGCAGGAGGCAAGATTGCACAGAAATTCAAATCAAATTCTCTTGCTTTGATTATTTTTTGTGTGTGTCTTGTTAATCAAGTTTAGCAGTGATCAGGTAACAAAGGCCAGTTCCTAGAGCAGCAATTTGCTGGTGGTTTGTGTGGCTTTGCAGGACCCCCACCATGCAGAGATGATTGTGCAGCCACTTGTTCCTTGTGCAATAAACTCTTTCCATGTCCTCGCTCCCACAGATACCTCTCCAAGGTGCCCCCATCCCCATTCTGCAAATGGCAAACTGGGAAAGGATAAATCTCTGCTTGCACAGGTTGGTTGAGCCCAGAAGAGCCCAGAACTGGGGTTTCCCAGACCGTACTATTTTACCATAAACCCATGCCTCCTCTGGGCCAAATGGAAGCTCTGTACCTTGCTTCCAGGCTGACGCTGCAGCTGTCTGTGGCTTCATCTGCCCATGCCCTAAGCCAGGGCTGGTGGGAGCATCCCAGGGATACATTCATGCTTGCTGGAGATACACACAGGGACCTAACTGTCCTACTGGCCTGGGACATGTTCAGATGAAGGACACAGGAAAGGCAATCCAGCAAAATGCCCTCCAGGTTTTATCCCACCAAAACTTTTGGGAGACATCCTTTTTACTGAAAGGAATGCCAATTTGGAGCATATAATCTGATTTCAGGTAAAAACCTTTTTTTTTTTTTTTTCTGGGAGAGCCCAAATGGAGCTGCCTGGGAAACGGATGGAGACGTTTTCCTCCACTAGGAAAACCTGAAGTGATTTGTGCTATTTGGGGAGCTTCTTTTGTCAGATTCTTGGCATTTTTACGGAGAGCTTCATCAAAAGCTGAACAGCCAAAAGGGGTTTTTTGCTGTTGTTTTGGTTTTGGTTTGTGGCAATAAAGAATTTATAACAGTGGCAGGCTTTTAGATAAGAAAAATATAAGAGGAAGATAGATGTTTCCAGCATTTTTCTTTTTTGATTTAAAAGAAAATCAGTCAAACCCTCCTTCAGACAAGATTATTTCTACAAGCTTCAATCAAGAGCATTCTAGAAAGCACTGTACATTAATAATCAGAAAATTATTAAGGTTGGAAAAGACCTCTAAAGATCATCAAGTCCAACTGTCATACCAACACCACCATGCCTGCTAAACCATGTCCCAAAGTGCCACATTTAGACATTTTTTTAATACCTCCAGGGATGGGACTCCTCCACTTCCTCGGGCAGCCTGTTCCAATACAATTTCAGGAAAGAAATTTTTCCTAATATCCAGTCTAAAGCTCCCCTGACACAAACTTGAGGCCATTGCCTCTCATTCTATTGCTAGTTACCTGGGAGAAGAGACCAACAGCCACCTCACTACACCCTCATTTCAGGTAGTTGTAGAGAGCAACAAGGTCCCCCCTCAGCCTCCTCTTCTCTCCAGACTGAACAGCCCCAGCTCCCTCAGCCGCTCCTCATCAGACTTGTTCTCCAGACCCCCCCCCAGCCTCGCTGCCCTTCTCTGGACACGCTCCAGCCCCTCAATGTCCTTCTTGGAGTGAGGGGCCCAAAACTGAACACAGCACTTGAGGTGCAGCCTCATCAGTGCCCAGTACAGGGGCACGATCCCCTCCCTGCTCCTGCTGGCCACGCCATTCCTGATCCAACCCAGGATGCTGTTGGCCTTCTTGGCCACCTGGGCACACTGCTGGCTCATGTTCAGCTGGCTGTCGACCAGCACCCCAAGGTCCTTTTCCACTGGGCAGCTCTCCAGCCACTCCTCCCCAAGCCTGTAGCGTTGCGTGGGGTTGTTTTGACCCAAGTGCAGGACCCAGCATTTGGCCTTGTTGAACCCCATACAGTTGGCCTGGGCCCATCAATCCAAGTCTGTCCAGATCCCTCTGCAGAGCCTTCCTACCCTCCAGCAGATCGACACTCCTGCCCAAGTTGGTGTCATTTGCAAGGTTACTGAGGGAGCACTTGATTCCCTCTTTACTCATGATCTTGGGCAAAGCATTTTTTATACCTAACTAAAATATGTGGACAGCTCAGCCATCAATAAAATCACAACCTCCTCTTTGGCCACCTCAGGCACCTGCCTAACAGTGCTGTCCATGTTGAGGAGGCCAGTGCTCTTCCTCTTCATTCTTCCAGGGCAGGAGTAACAGCTTGCCATCTTCACTGGTGGAAATTTCAGTTAATGTCTCACTGAGATGATCAACTGTTTCATCTCTTTTGGAGCAGGCGTTTCAGGGTCTCTTCAAACTTAGCTATCCTTTTGCTTTAGCTTTGTGATAGGATTTGCTTTGTATCAGCATATAAACTGAAAAGTATGCTTTTGGAGATGTTTCTAATCGGGAGCTAAACAAAAAATCCTGCCCATCCCAAGGCTTAGGGGAGGTGGTGATCCAGGCATGGTCCTGGATTTGTGTTCTGCCTTGATTCACCTCCATCAACCGCCCTGTGGGAGCAGTGAGAATGATGGGTTGTGATGTGACGATGACTTACAGGATGCTCAGGATACGGCCGTGGGGCAATCCACACAACCCACAGCCTGATCCTGGGGAACCTCAGGGCAGAAAGTGGCAGGACAGTGCCCCAGTCACCTGCTCCTCCTTTGTGCATCAGAGGACATCCCAATTATTCCCGTTCCCTTCTCAAGCCCCGGTACAAGACTGAGCCCGCCAGCCCCCCTGCACTTGCAGCATGCCCTTCCCTCCACCCCGAGCCGAGATGGGCACAGCCAGGAGGACTCTTCAACCCCTTCCCTCTGCCCTGCCAGGCCTCCTTCCACTCAAATTACAACATTTGCTCTTTTTATCTTTTCCCTGTCTTGAAATGCATCTCAGACAATTGACCTCTCGCCACTCGACTTCTCCATCAGGCATTTGGTGGAGAGGAATGAAGGTGTGGGAGAAAAATGGTGATGCTGCAGCCCAGCCGAGCTTCCAGCATGGCATGGTCACTGTGAAAACACACCCAAAGAACAAGCCCATGCCAGAAGACTCAGGCTCTGTGGCAGCACTTGTATCACAGGTTTTTCCTCCATCACTCTGCTGAGAGGTCTGCAGCACAGAAAGGTCAAGCCATTGTGTAAAAGCACCGGGCAACCTGCTCCCTCTGTCATTTCTTTCGCTGCAGCTCCCCTTTGCTCTCCAACACCCAAAAACGACCATGCAGCTTGCTCGGCTGGCACCTGGAGATGTTGCAGCAGAGCTGAGAGCTGCATGAGATGCACCGTGTGCCTATGGGGTGGGATGGTTTTCCCTCTCTGCATGAGTTTTGCAGCCAGGACCTGAAGATGCCTTGCTCCTGGGCTCCTCGGAGCCCCACAAAGCCCTTCGTGATGAGCTGGGTAGAGATGCTCCCCCAGAGAGGTGGGGGTTGCTGGAGACAGAATTGTGCCCACAAGTGCCTCCAGTATTGTGTGCTTAAAAGAAGTCCTCCTTGTCTGTGTGACCAGTGGGTGCAACTCAGAGCCGCCTTAGGGCTGCTCCCATTTAAGCCGGGGATTAGTTTTGGAGATGCAACTCTTGCCCACCCTGCTTCCCCGCTGCCTTCCCTATGGTCCTCAGCACCGTGTCGGATTCAGTCTTGGACCCCCCACGCTGGTGCCCACACCTCCCAAATATGTCCTGCCTGATCCCATTCCCACAGAGAAAGATGGACCAAGGTCAACCCCAGGCACCTGCCTGCACGGTGTCCTCGGACTGTGATCTGCTCATGGGAGCAGTGACATGGGGCGAGAGAGATGTGATGAATAAATGGAATAAATTGCAGTGATTTTTGTGAAAGGACTGTCCTATTTGTGTGCATGTTTGGAAGAGTGTTTCTCCAAGGGATTGGATGGGATGGGATTGGTGCGGAAGGGGAGGGAAGGAGAGGAGAGGAGAGGAGAGGAACGGGGAAAGGAATGGGGAAAGAAACAGGGGAAAAAATGGGGGAAAAAGAATGGGGGAAAAGGAATGGGGGAAAGGAAGGGGGGGAAAGGAACAGGGGAAAGGAAGGGAGGGAAAAGGAAGGGGGGGAAAAGGAAGGGGGGAAAAAGAAGGGGGAAAAGGAAGGGGAAAGGGACGGGGAAAGAAAAGGGGAAAGGAATGGGGAAAGGAAAGGAAAGGAAATTTTCTAAAGCAAAGCAAATCTGATTATTGTGTAGCCGCTTCCCTGCTCCTCGCTCATCAATAGGAAGCACTGACATATTTCATTACTGCATTTAATCTCTTCCTTCTAAGAGAGACAGACTGCTGCCAGTTCTGAATACACCTGCTTTTTTATGAGCAGGATTTTACTGAAACAAATCAAGTTTGGCAACAGAGCTGGACCTCGCCATGTGGCCCGGGCATGATTTTGCTTTCTAACCCACAGTGCTGAGCTGATCAGGGCTGTGGAGCAAAGGGCTGCTCACAGGGGAGCAGCGGCTGGCAGGGAGCGAGGGCTTCAGAGCAGGAGGTGCTGTTTGCTTGCCGGGGGATAATGTCAATCAGCAGGATTTTCTCTGTCCTTTCTGCTTTGTCACCCAGTTTCACACCTGGGGAGGGTGGGAGGGTGACCAGGGAGGTCGCATAGCCGAAGGCACGCATCTCATCGGCTGTCTCCCCTCCCTGAGCTGCTTATCACAAACCAGCCTGGCTCAGCAGTGCCAGCGTAAACCCAAACCAACCCCCTGAGAAAGCCAGCATGCACGTCAGACCTGGATCCGGCCCACCGGCTCGTCAGCGCAATGTCCCTAATGACGCAGGCTGCTATAATTAGACCCACCAGGGTGCTGACTTGCCCGAGTCTTGCCACTTTGGCAGACAGGCTTAGCCTTTCCCTCCCAACCCCAGGTGTGGAAGTTGAAGCCAGGAAATCCTCACAAATGCATGCACTGGGCTAAACCAGGGGTTTCGGAGACTTGGGATGGGGTGGGGTGAGTGGCCGACATCCTCAGCCAAGGCAAAAGTCCAGGCAGCAGCAGAGCATCCCATAGGACTGGGCTCCAGAAGCTCCATAACCTGGATTTTCAAAGTGCGTGTAGTGGGTTTTTTTTGTTTTATTGAATAATTTTATGGTCCAGCCTCCTTCCATGGAGAAGGTCCATCCTCTAGGCTCTGTTCCTCAAGCCAAGGAAGAACAATGTGAAGCAGCTGCCTAGAGGGGGACGACTGAGTGAGTAACTTAGAGAAGCTACTCGAGGAAGCACCTTAAGCCCAGCTCCTCCAAAGGGACTGAGGCACCCAATTCATACAGAAAGCCCTCAGCCACCCCATGCACGTGGAAAATACATGCAGAAGCATTTATCCAACAAGGAATGTGATTCTGGTGGCCCTCAACCTCCAGAAACACCCTTATATTCGATCCCACCTGAACACATAGCAGGTGCTTCATCCTCTCTTACCTGTCCACACTGATGATGCACAAGGTCATGATGGAGGCGGTGCAACACATAACGTCCATGGCGATGAAGACATTGCAAAAAACTTTCCCAAAGAGCCATTCTCCCCCCACCAAGTCTGTGATGGTCACGAAGGGCATGACAGCGAAGGCCACTGACAGGTCTGCGGCTGCGAGGGACACCACCAGGTAGTTGGAGGGCTGCCGGAGCTTCTTGACGATGCACACAGAGATGATGACCAGACCGTTGCCGGCGATGGTCATAAGGATGATGATGGAGAGCACCGCTCCAATGACGATCTTCTCAGTGTCCCCATAGAGCAGGATCTCCTCGCCGCAGTCCGTCGTGTTGGTAAGGTTGGAGGACGGCAGGTCTGGCTCGGCTGGGACGGAGGGTTCCTCAGTCATGGATGGATTCGGGACCGATTTCCGAGCTGGGTGCTGCTGCTCTGCGTTCTCCAAAAAGAGAAGATGGTGCTCCAGAAACCGCCTGGGGCTGGCCCTTAGCAACATGCTCTGAACTCACCGCAGTGGGCAACGGCACGAGTTTTCTCCCAGCAATGACACCTCCAGTGACAAACCAGAACATTTTATCACAAACAGGTGAAGAAAAGAAAATGTCCCCCCATCCCCACCCCAGCTCATGCCTCCCAAAGCTGCGGCCGCATCTCACGTGCTCGGCAAGAAGCCGCTTCCCAAGTCTGCTTGAAGACCCTCAGTTTGCTGGAGGATGCTTGGAGAAACCTCACCTCCACTTTTAAAGGAACACAAGCTGCCCAGTCCGCCCGCAAGGGCTGCCTGATCGCCTGCATCCTTTTCCAGAAGGATAGGTAA